TTAAATGACTTAAACATCATTTCTGAGTGTGCAGCATTCAGGAGCAAAAAGGTGCCTGACAAGAGGATAACTTCTGAGAAGCATGAACATACTTCACAGTGATGGATCGATTGATTGATGATTGATATTTTGCTTTTGTGCATGCTGTTATTTTAAAGCTGCAGTCCGTAGTTTTTCCTCTTTGTCGCCATCTCTGTTCGAAATCTGCAATTGCAGTTATTCGTGGAATTATCAACTTTACATGGGTTGTGCCTCGGCACGGCAAAGAGCGGATGAATCCAATGTTTGAGGAGAGTGTGCGGCTGTCAGTCACCTCGCCGGTGTAGATACTGTCATTCGGAATCACAGATTCTACTTTTTGGAAGTATGACCAACATAAGAATTTTCACCGGAAAATGTCATCTGAACAAGTAAGTAACATCCACTTTTATTCTGACCAACTAAGGGGAAAAAAGCATTGCAGTAAATCGCGCTGATTAAATCTAATGATCGCTTATCATATCACGTCAAACCGTGCAAATTATACTTTGTTCTCAAATTGTTAATGTTAACAATATCAGCTTTGCGTGACTGTTAAAAGCCCTTCTAGGGACAGGTGTTGCGAATTAGCCTTGGTTATAAACACTGTGATACAGGCATCGGATTGTTCTTTATGGAATAATCTATGTTTTTTTGTATCTGTCCCTATTCAAATAAACAATAAATAAATAAATAAATAAAATAAATAAATTTAATGCCCTTCCTGGATCCGCCATCAAATTAATAAGTTTAATTATATCAAGTGCTGTGAGAAAAGGCTATAAATCTCCACCTCCAACATCCTCACAAGCAATATAGCCTACTAACACCTCCTTTGTGTACAGATGTGACGCAAACACATGCTCGAATTTCCCGCGGAAATCCAAAAATTACAAACATCCTGACATGCCTAGAAAACAATTTGAAATAAGAAATAAAATAAAGTTTGAATTACATCAGTCAGTTGCCTGATAACAGAAAAATAAATAAATTACTTTATTATAAATACATTTTAAAAATAAAAGTTTTTTTAAGTATACTTAAAGTTCAAATGTAGTATTACTAGTAGTATACTTGTAAGTGTACTATTTCAGTACTACTTGGGATTAAATGGCCCACCTTTAGTGTATAAAAAACACTTTAAAAAAAAAAACAATATATTCAAACTACTGTATATAAGTTTACAAAACAGTACGTAAAACTATGTGAAAAATATTGCTACTCAATAAAAAGAATACAAGCCAAGTATACTTAGAATAATTCATTATGCTTTAGTATATCAATCAAAAGATTAATATGGAAGTAAAATAATGCCAAAAGTTTTTGATTTTTGAAAATCAAACCTTTTAGATTGTTGATATTTAATAAAATAAACTGTCATGTGTAACTAAATATTGATTTTTTTTCTCTCTACTGCATGAGCTCATGTTTATTAAATACTATCTAACACTTGTGGGGGGGATTCAGTATCTGGAGATGTTGCTTGAGCCCACCACAGACAGCGGAGACCGACCTCCCGTGAGTGACAGGACCGTACCGAGGATAAGGACGGAGAGCATCATCACCACGGAGACTGGACCACCGACAGAGTCTGACCAGGTGCGTGAGCCGGCAACACAGTGTGTCGAGGGAGTGATTGTGGAGCTTAAGGGCTGTAAGGATAGCCCTACCCACAACCCTACCGCTATGAAAGTGGATATGCTTGACTTTGGCATATATTCTGAGGAACTTAAGTACATTTTTTTAGGTAGATCTTATTGACTTTTGTGCTTATAGTAGTATGGCCTGCTTGTAACAGTATATAAAGAACACAATGGCCCTCATTTATCAAAAGTGCGTACACCAAATTTCCAGCGTACACCTGGCGTACACCCAAAACCACGGTGACTTTGAAATTTATCAATATGGACGTTGGCGTATGGCACGCTCAAATCCTACGCCAGCTCAGGAGGTGGTGTACATGTACGCACGTTTTGAGTTAGTGCGGAAATGCGCAGAAAAACAATTCCTAACACCATGAAATGCACTGACAAACTAAAAGATATGATATATTATGACCCACTGTAAAACAAAAAAACAAAAACATAGTAATTATTTACTTCAGTGTTTATTTTTGTGCAACATGGACTTCAATGTTTAATTTGTGTGACTTTACCAAAGCATTTGATTTATAAGCATATGTATTCCTTCAGTTGCGAGCCTGTGCGCTTTACCCTGACGTTTCATGGTTAGGCCTATACCCGGCAGGTGCGCACGGACTGGGTTCGGTAACAAAAGGCTTTCAATGACCAACAAATAATTCAGACTGACAAAATAATAAAAAATACATTCTTCTTCTTTTAAATAATAATAATAATACAAATAATAATAATGACATTCTTCTTCTAAATAACAATAAGCGTCATTAATAATACAAATCATACTAATAATAAGAAGCATATTACAAATTGTCATGCAATTATTAATGTGAATGAATGGTAGGCCTACTCCACATCACATCATCATCATCACTATTGTACACCCCAATACATGTAACGTGATTCGAAATTGAATGCTAATTCAGAAGACGTGCTGTAAAATATTGCATTGTGATAGGTCATTTCGGCTCCACGTCGGAGAAGTTTCTCTTCTTTGCCGTCTTCCGTGTGTCCATGGCGTAAAATGAGGGCGTGGGGGAAGCGGAGACTTGGGCGTGTTATTCTAATGACGATCGTTTTCGGCCGTGGGATTTATCAAGGGCAGGTATTGCGTACACCTGGATTTCAAAGGTACGCACAGCTTCATAAATCAGGCGGTGAGAGGAGTGTAAGCATAATCTTACGCAAACATATACGCCCGTTTCTATGCAAGAATGATAAATGAGGGCCAATGTGACCCCAGTTTTGTGTGATACATATTTGTGTGGTGGCGCAACTGGTAAAACGAGTGCACTTGTCTGGCAGCGACCTGGGTTCAATTCCAGTCCGTAGTGGTTCCTACATTCAGTGTACATATATCTGTTCCCATTGTCTCACTGATGATAAGTAAGTTACTGGTATACTGGGGGGTGTCAGTAAAAGACAAATTCTTAAGCTGTGCCATTATTTATAAATATTACTTTATTGTAGCCTATTTGAAGCACACGATAATGATGCCATTAGCACACTTCAAGTTTACTTGGAATGCCATTGTAATGTGTTTTTAAAATTTACTAAAAGTTTGTAGTCAGTATAATATTAATGTATTTTCAACACTCTTACAGTGTAATGGAATTGCAATTGTAATGTCACCAAAATACATTTGAAGTTTATGCTATTTAATTCTGCATTTCAAAACTTAAATACTAGAGTATATTTAAAGTGTACTTAAACTTGGAATAGTTCCACTTTAGCACAAACAAGTATATTTAATACAACTTTAATTGACAACTACAGTAAACATGCATTTATTACAAAATTAACAGACTTTAAGTATTCCAATTTATAGTTTGCCACAAATACATTTAGTTATACTAAAGTACATATGAATAAATTGTGCTTAAGTATACATTTTTTTCACTAGTTTGTGTTTATTTTGTGTTTCATGCTTTGGATTATTACCTGATGGTTTATGTTTCATATTTTTTTGGATTATAACCATTATAATAAACTGCACTTGGGTCCTCTACATCATTGTTTTCATCTGCTTCCATGTCAGCATCGTTACAGCCCTCATGTCGTTCCAAACCTCTGGGACTTTTTATTCCTGTGGAAAACCAAAATTATTGACAAATTATTAAAACACAAATTATCTGGATAAGAGCATCTGCTAAACGGCATAAATGCAATATGAATTTCACCATATGTGTATAATGGATATTGTTCTTTATCTTCATAGGAAAACGCTGTTCCCAAACCTGTACAGAGAGATGCACTAATTAACCAAATTTCCAAGCCTGCTTTCCCTTGACGCTAATCTTCCAAATGGTCAAGGCATTTAACACACAGTTGTTATGCAACACACCAAACAAACATGTTTTTGTTCCAAGATATAACTGGGTTCGAGCAACAGAGGGGTTGTACTTGCACATGAAATCCTTAGTGTCCAATTAGACTGGAGACTGCATTTTACTCTGAGTGCAGTATAAGGCCTACATCCATATCCAAAAGTGGCCATACATTAACGTCTATATGTAAAGTCTGTTTTAGCAGTAAATGGTTATATATGATAGTACACTACATACAGTAGGCCTGTATAACCCATATTTACTGAATATACACAGTGTGGCAATCTGGGCCTAGTAACTTTGACCAGTAACTATTCATACAAACACTTCTTTTGTTCTTTAGTATTCCCCCCCCCCCCCCCCCCCCCCCCCCCCCCCCACCACCACCAAATAATTTCATGCTATTTCATGCTATAAAAGTTTTCCTAGTAACAGATGAAAAAACGTATGCAATAAGTTTATAGTCACATTTTTTATCTTAGTAAGTTTTTAATTGAATTGTAAAATGGTATAAGACAATTGTACATAATGAGATGAGAAATATTACTAATATTTGCAAAAGTATTAGTGGGAGTAATACTAGGGTCTCATTCATGGGTAGCCTACTACATTAGCATTTAATAAATCTGACAAGTACTATTAAATTGAATGGATACCTATTAGTATTGGAATGGTTTCTAAGAAACTAAGTAAATTTAATAAGTATAAACAGTAGGCCTAGAAGTGTACAGATCCCCTATAGAATTCAATGGCAAAAATGTGCAGTTTGTACAACATGAAACTTGTCTCTGACTAGCAATTGAATAAATAGACTACTAGTAGCCTATCAAATAAAGTTACTGGTGACCTTGGGGGGGGATACTAGTCACTTTTGGAATACTTACTTTTAGCACAGCTACTAACAAAATAGCAGCTTGTTTTAAGGTAGGCCTATAGGCTAAATGTTAAAACGGCTTGCCATATATAATCTCGAGTCTCTTGAGTTAGTGCAGTGTGGTATTAGCGGGCTTTAAGATTGTAATGTCACTATAGAAACCGCTGGAAAGAACACAAGAGTTACCATGACCATTGCAGACAGGCGTTTAGTGCGCGAGATGCCTGCGTGTCCGCTTCACGCGCGCTGCGACACCGCTATTCAGCATCTTTCTGTTTAGTCTGCGCTTTATATCTTTATATCATCAGAATATGAACATCCCGCTCGAAAGTTTTATTTGCGGAAATTCCACGAGACCATGAGGATGATATGCAATGCATCACTACACTGGAGATATAACCGAATTGCGCTATAACTGTTTTACTTTTGTAAGTTTTACCTTTTGTGGCCATGAGTGCGGAGAAGCCAAACTTTCTGTCTCAACCTGAGGTAAAAAATATCTATTTCTATCGGAATGGGGATCCGTATTACGAGCCCAGGCGTTTGGTGATCAACGCGAAGAGGGTTTCGACCTTCGACACGCTGCTGCGGGAGGTGACTGGTGGCGTCCGGGCTCAGTTTGGAGCTGTGAGGAACATTTACACGCCCAAAGCGGGACACCGGATAGACTCACTGGAGCACCTGAGGAGCGGAGAACAGTATGTAGCTGCTGGACGAGAGAAGTTCAAAAAGATAGAGTAAGACACATTTAAGAAACATCTATCTATCTATCTATCTATCTATCTATCTATCTATCTATCTATCTATCTATCTATCTATCTATCTATCTATCTATCTATCTATCTATCTATATTAGCTAACGTTCTGGAAAGGTTCTCTCAATATGTTGAACAAATTCTTCGTTGATAGAATGTTCAAAAGTATCTGGTCAACGTTCTCAAAAACTTAAGTTATTCGTTAATGGAAGGGTTTTGTTTTATTTTTGCTGAAACATTTTAGCTGGACGTTTATCTAACAGTCCTCAATGTTACTTGTTTCAGAGAAAGGTAAACATTCCCATAATGTATGTAGGCTATGCGAAATGATAAAATAATGTGTCCTTAATGTTCGCAAGAAAACAACTAGTCTATTTAAAATATGTTTTTTTTTTAAAGAAAAAGGATGTTTTGAACGTTCAGAGAACATTCAGAAATACCTTTTTAATAACTTAATAAGAGCCTTATCAAACCGTTCTTAGAATATTTTTTTTTTGTTAGCTGGGGAGGAGGCCATGAACGCAGGGAAAGTTCTCATAACTTTGGCAAACATTCTGAGCAAACATTTTCCAGCAACGTTAGCCTTAATGTTCCCACAATGTCAGCATAAACATTTTTTTATACAGGTCCTTCTCAAAAAATTTGCATATTGTGATAAAGTTCATTATTTTCCATAATGTAATGATAAAAATTAAACTTTCATATATTTTAGATTCATTGCACACCAACTGAAATATTTCAGGTCTTTTATTGTTTTAATACTGATGATTTTGGCATACAGCTCATGAAAACCCAAAATTCCTGTCTCAAAAAATTAGCATATTTCATCCGACCAATAAAAGAAGTGTTTTAAAAAAAAAAAAGTCATCCTTCAAATAAATATGTTCAGTTATGCACTCAATAGTCAATACTTGGTCGGGAATCCTTTTGCAGAAATGACAGCTTCAATGCGGCGTGGCATGGAGGCAATCCGCCTGTGGCACTGCTGAGGTGTTATGGAGGCCCAGGATGCTTCGATAACGGCCTTAAGCTCATCCAGAGTGTTGGGTCTTGCGTCTCTCAACTTTCTCTTCACAATATCCCACAGATCCTCTATGGGGTTCAGGTCAGGAGAGTTGGCAGGCCAATTGAGCACAGTAATACCATGGTCAGTAAACCATTTACCAGTGGTTTTGGCACTGTGAGCAGGTGCCAGGTCGTGCTGAAAAATGAAATCTTCATCTCCATAAAGCTTTTCAGCACATGGAAGCATGAAGTGCTCCAAAATCTCCTGATAGCTAGCTGCATTGACCCTGCCCTTGATAAAACACAGTGCACCAACACCAGCAGCTGACATGGCACCCCAGACCATCACTGACTTTGGGTACTTGACACTGGACTTCAGGCATTTTGGCATTTCCTTCTCCCCAGTCTTCCTCCAGACTCTGGCACCTTGATTTCCGAGTGACATGCAAAACTGAGCAACAGTCCAGTGCTGCTTCTCTGTAGCCCAGGTCAGGCGCTTCTGCCGCTGTTTCTGGTTCAAAAGTGGCTTGACCTGGGGAATGCGGCACCTGTAGCCCATTTCCTGCACACGCCTGTGCACGGTGGCTCTGGATGTTTCTACTCCAGACTCAGTCCACTGCTTCCGCAGGTCCCCCAAGGTCTGGAATCGGTCCTTCTCCACAATCTTCCTCAGGGTCCGGTCACCTCTTCTCGTTGTGCAGCGTTTTTTGCCACACTTTTTCATTCCCACAGACTTCCCACTGAGGTGCCTTGATACAGCACTCTGGGAACAGCCTATTTGTTCAGAAATTTCTTTCTGTCTTACCCTCTTGCTTGAGGGTGTCAATGATGGCCTTCTCGACAGCAGTCAGGTCGGCAGTCTTACCCATGATTGCGGTTTTGAGTAATGAAACAGGCTGGGAGTTTTTAAAAGCCTCAGGAATCTTTTGCAAGTGTTTACAGTTAATTAGTTGATTCAGATGATTAGATTAATAGCTCGTTTAGAGACCCTTTTCATGATATGCTAATTTTTTGAGACAGGAATTTTGGGTTTTCATGAGCTGTATGCCAAAATCATCAGTATTAAAACAATAAAAGACCTGAAATATTTCAGTTGGTGTGCAATGAATCTAAAATATATGAAAGTTTAATTTTTATCATTACATTATGGAAAATAATGAACTTTATCACAATATCCTAATTTTTTTAGAAGGACCTGTACATGTTTCATAAAACTTTTCTTTCTGAAATGTTTTATTTGGACGTCATGTAATGTTTTTTAAATATTTCAAAACATACATGAAACAAATGTTTTTAGAATATGTTTTTCCCGTTTGATCTGATTATTTAAAGGGATACTCCACCCAAAAATGAAAATTCTGTCATCATTTACTCACCCTCAATTTGTTGCAAACTTGTATGAGTTTCTTTCTTCTGCTGAACACAAAGTGCTGAACACAAACAAAAATATCTTCCTTTGTGTTCAGCAGAAGAAAGAAACTCATACAGGTTTGCAACAACTTGAGGGTGAGTAAATGATGACATAATTTTCATTTTTGGGTGGAGTATCCCTTTAAGGTCCACCCCTTTCAATCCGATCGAAATTTCTTTCTGATCGATTGAGATGTTTAAATGAAGCCTTTTCAATCCGATAGAGCAGATTATTTGGGTGCATGCAAATGTATCATATCTTAACCCTTTCCTGATCAAACCTAAATATGCCATGAGTACATTCACACTACCTGTCAAACATTTTAACACATTTCAACTGATTCTCTATTTTCTCTATTTTACAATGAAAGTTACGAAAACACAAATGAAAGTCTGCGGATGATGTAGTGATCAAAACAAATAATGGCACAAATAAAAACTCTGAAGAGTCAGCTCTGACTTCACGAGGTGCATTCTGGGATGTTTTTTTTAAAAGTTCCCATGTATGGTGGACACATGATTATGCTTTGCCTTCGATTTCTGACCCAACTCATTAATTTCAACAAATTTAAAATGTTAGTTTCATAAAGTTGTAATACAAATTTAGATAACTAATTTCATTTAAGCATGAACTTTTAAATCAAACACAAATAATTAAACATTTGACTATAAAGTGCATCTGGTTTATGGCAACGAGGAACAAAATCTGCAAATAATACTTTTACTTTGCATTGTTAAAGGGGGAAAACTAATTCAGCTTACTTTCTAGTTATTTACAGATAGGAACCAGGAAGAAAAGAATGCTTCAGCTCAATGGAGTGGTAAGGACAAATAATTACACTTTATTTACAGCTGAAATCTGTGTATGTGTATACAATGAATACAAGCTCTATTCATATAAAACACTGCTGATCATATTAATTAAGAACACAGCACAAATATTCAACATACACAAACATGCAGTGTAAAGCAGTCAGTCGCTACTCAGTTTGTTTGTTAATGGAGTCAGCGGGGTATGTTCAGAGTCCCCGTGTCCCAGAGGACTATGTACCAGAACACTAACCCCAGTAGATTTAGACATTGGCAAACAAAGCCAACAATTTAAGAACATGTTTTTCAAAACACAATCTTTTTTTTTCAAGGTATATGTTAAGGAAAAGTAACATGCAGATCCAGTCACACAAATGACCATGTGCTAGTTCAGCATACAGTATCGCACCTGCTTTAGCATTCAAGAAAAACTACCTAAGCGAGGTGTAATGTTTAGACACACACCGTCTGCGTTGTCGTCTGGGAAGAATCACTTTGTTGTCGGCTCATTTGGCAATGAATTATTAACCTGTGAATTATTATCCACCTTCTTGGATGCATATTTAAGTCAATGGCTCTGACCCAGAGCGCAAACAAAGCTCCCTGGACTCCGGAGACAATCTGAATGACACTTCATATACTCCCGCTGTACTCAAGACTAGTTAAAGAAGAGAAGAATGAAAAGAAAGAAAGAAAATGAGCACAGGGACTTTACAACAGTCTTAAAATTTTATGAACTCTCTAAGGCAAAGAGAGTGAGTATCATCACAACTGCTCAGAGACCCCTTTATTATTGCGGTGAACTAAATGGCTGTTGCCGTGGTAATTGGTGATACAATGTCCTAATCATCATTAGGCAAGATTGAACAGGCCAATTTATTTATGATGTGGGCCACACTTTGTTCCTACTAGCTTCTGATTGTCTCAATTAGAGCGGCTGCTTTGGCCTGGCAGCGTCCCAAAGACTCACTGTCCCTCTGCTCTTTACACAAGCGCCTGCAGGGTTACCAGGGGATACGGCAGGGGCCTGAGAGACACTGAAACACTAGATGAGAGCAGTTGTCTGTCTGTGTTTGGGTTTAACTGAGCAAGGCCCTCGCTTAAACACACTAGTTAATCGAACTCACGTCTGACCCTGACAGCAAGTGAGCAGATCTTACATTTCACATCTTGAGGCAGTGTTTTCTACTGTCTGAAATGCAGTTTCCTATTTATTTTATTGGATTCATTTTTACGTTTAAATTGATTAAGTGTAAACAAAAAAACAGATTTAGAAACATTCAATATGAGCTATCAGTTGCAAAAGCTGATGAACTAATACAGTTGACTTCAGTGGGCTTTCACCAGCGGTGATAGACACTATCACTCAGGCTGAGCCCCCTCCACGAGGCAGGCCTATGCTTTGAAGTGGAGTCTGTGGAGACCGAGGGGAAGACCCACAGAGATTTGAAAACTCCCTCTCTGCTGCCAGTTGCTGCGTTTGTATTAGTTTCTTCCTTTTCAGATAGTACCTACCACAGGGACTTATTTCCATGTGTGGTACTTCTCAGGTGTTCCCAGAAGTCCATGTGATGTAATCTCCACACACTAACCTCCCCTTCGGGTAGGATGTGGTCTCTGTAGGGTTTCTTCTCCCATCTGGTGGTTGAGGAGATTCCCCCTTCCATGTAAAGCGCTTTGAGTACCCGGAAAAGCGCTATATAAATGTAACAAATTATTAATTATCTGGGAAGTAGTTCCTCAACGCTCTGATCTGCATCAGCTGTAGATTTTTCCTTGGGAAAAAAAAGAACAAAAAAGATCAAGTGCACTTGTTACATCTGCATTGCCGAAACTGATAACACAGTTCACCTGATTGTGGCATTTAGTATAGGGACCCCTAGTGTCAGTACATCAACACAACGTCGAAGTGACTGACAGATAGGAAACCTCTCTGTTACTATTTTAATCTACATTCCCTGATAGAGGGAATAAGAGGTTGTGTCCTTTCTACCACAACTCTGAACTGTCTGCTGAAATGGCCGGGACGCTATCTTGGCTCCTCCGCACAAACCTGAATGAGTGGAGCTCACCAGCCTCCTTTTATATACCCACATGTCACCAATTCTCATTGGCCTTTTCTGAAGTATCAGAGGTGTTTGGGGCTCCCACGTGTGACCCCTAATGTCAATACATTGACACTACCTCTTATGCCCTCCATCAGGGAACGTAGGCTACAATAGTAACCGAGACTTTGTTTTTTTCATCTTTCTCAAGTGTGTAATGTTGCTGTTTGAGTGTGAAAAAGGTCTGCAAAGTTACAAAGCACAGTCAAGTAAAGTCAAGTCAAGTCACCTTTACTTATATAGTGCTTTTTACAATACAGTTGTTTCAAAGCAGCTTTACAGAGATAACAGGAAAATAATGCAATAAAGTTTGTTTCTAGAAGAAAATAGTGTCACAGTCTAACTGAAGTAAGTTCAGTGATGTTCATTTTTGTAGTTATTAATTTAGTTCATTTAGCTGCTCTGGAGAAAACCGTGATGTCATCGTTCAGCTCAGTTCAGTTCTCATATAGTGTCAATGCAGGGAGATCAATAATATTGTTTAATATTAAATTAAATGTCCCCAACTAAGCAAGCCAAAGGCGAAAAAGGCGACAGTGGCAAGGAACGAAAACTCCATCAGGTGACAGAATGGAGGAAAAAAAACAGGGAGAAAACCATGGTGTCACAGTCTGTCTTGTCTCCGCCTCTTCACTACACTTCCCAGCATCCCTCATGTTTTCGCACCTGCCTGTCAACATCGTTGTCACCTGTGTCTTGTTAATTATCATCATCTGTGTCACCTGTTTCAGTTCTTCAGTGTTTGTAGGCAAGGCAAGGCAAGTTTATTTATATAGCACATTTCATACACAATGGGAATTCAAAGTGCTTTACATAGGAGAAAATAAAATAATCAAAACAAGTAAGAATAATTAAAACAGTTTAGAATAAAAAATAAAATAAAGTACAGTAAAAACATTTGGACGAACAGTGGCACAGTGCTCATTCAGTAAATGCATAGCTAAACAGATGTGTTTTGAGTCTGGATTTGAATGTGACTACTGTAGGAGCACATCTGATCTCTTCTGGAAGCTGGTTCCAGATGCGGCTGGCATAATAGCTAAAAGCAGACTCACCATGCTTAGAGTGAACCCTTGGTATTTCTAGCTGAAGTGATCCTAATGATCTGAGTGATCTGTTTGGTTTATATTCAGTGAGCATATCTGCAATATATTGAGGTCCTAGGCCATTGAATGATTTATATACCAGTAATAATACTTTAAAATCATGAGCTGCAACTGTCTTATGGTCTTTTTAGGAAGGCCAGTGAGGAGTCCATTACAATAATCCACCCTGCTGGTGATGAAAGCATGCACAAGTTTCTTGTCAAGTGACTGGAAACAAAGCATCTAATTCTTGCAATATTTTTCAAATGATAGTATGCTGATTTAGTAATTGCTTTGACATGACTACTGAAACTAAGGTCTGACTCTAGAGACACACCAAGATTCCTGACTTGATTTTTAGTTGTTAGACCCCTAGAGTCAAGGTATGCATTCACCTTGAGAACTTCATCTTTGTTTCCAAATGCAATGACTTCAGTTTTGTCTTTGTTTAACTGAAGAAAGTTTTGGCACATCCAACCGTTTATTTCATCAATGCATTGGCACAGGGAGTCAATGGGGCTGTAGTCGTTAGTCGTTAGGCTAAGTAGAGCTGTGTGTCGTCTGCATAGCTGTGGTAAGAGATTCGGTTCTTTCTCATTATTTGGCTCATTGGGAGCATATACAGGTTGAATAGGAGTGGTGCAAGAATTGAGCCTTGGGGGACTCCGCATGTCATGGATGTCCACTCAGACTTATGGTCTCCTATACTCACATAATAACCTCTCCCTTCTAAGTATGACCTGAACCATTTTAAGCCCCTCCCAGTTTTCCAGCCTGTCAAGAAGTATGTTGTGATCGACAGTGTCAAATGCAGCACTGAGGTCGAGTAGTACCAGCACTGATAATTTTCCTGTATCAGTATTTAAGCGAATTTCATTTATTATCTTTATGAGAGCTGTCTCTGTGCTGTGATGCGATCGGAAACCAGATAGAAAATTGTCAAAGTATCCATTCAAGCTTAAGAATTTGTTCAGCTGATTGAACACAACTTTTTCAATGATCTTGCCTATGAAAGGAAGATTTGAGATCGGTCTATAATTGATAATAAGATGGTCTTTTCCAGATTGCTCTTTTTCAGGAGGGGCTTGACAACTGCAGTTTTCAGGTAGTTTGGAAAACTCCCAGAGAGAAGTGAGGCATTTACCGCTTCTAGGAGATCTGCTTCTAAGCTGTTTAACACACTTTTGTAAAAAGATGTGGGAAGTGCGTCAAGGGCGTATTTAGTTGTATTTAGTTGTATTTGTATTGCATTTGTATTTAGTTCCTTCAGTTCAGTCAGTCCTTTGTCTGTAGTTAGTCGTATTTAGTGTGTTATCCTGCCTGTCTGTACCTGCCTGAAGTTTCTTTGTAAGTAAAAGTAATTTCAATGGAGCTCTTGCCTTTTCGTCTTCTTCTGCCTGCACCATGCTGTGACAGAACTACAGACCGCCCTAAGATGCTAAGATGTCCTTGCTGCGAAAAGCCAACACTTCCTCTCGTTCGTCAAGGGGTTTGTCCGCATTGCCATCCACAACACCCTTGACGACGAGAGGTTGTGTACCTTGTTCCAGCTCGGGGCCACCTTTCACCACCGGATCGACCTTCCAGACACCACCGGACTCAGCTGGAGGGAGACTGTTATCCGGTGTCTGGAGAGCGTCGATCCCCGATCTGGAACATAACCTGCCAGTCCTGCCAAGACCACTCCTTTAGGGGATCTACACATTCTGGACCAGCCCATTCTCCACATCCTGCCTGAACCCTTGTCTCCAACCAAGATGGCAGAGCCTTCACCGCTGGTCTAGTCCAGCACAGAGCCTGCGCTTCACGTCAGCCACGCCGAGCCTGCACTTCACGTCAGCCACGCCGAGCCTGAGCCTTCTGTTCCCGAGCCTGAATTCCCACCCAGCCTCCCTCTCCCACCTCCTTCCATCTGCCTCTCTACCTTTCCTCCACCACTGCCTGGCAGCCCCTCTGCTCCTGTATCCACCCTTGAGGAAGTGGAGTCGCCGAGGATCTGCCTGCCACCAACGCCTTCAGGGTCAGTGGATCCCCGGTCTCCGCCTCCAACCTCCTCAACCAGGACTCTACTTCGGCCCTTCATTTCATCTGTTCCACCTTGGCTCTTACCTCCCTCAGCTCCACCATGGCCCCTCAGTCCCCCAGTTCCGCCAGGCTCCCTCGTTCCCCCGGATTCACTTTTGTCCCTCGTCGGCCTTCCCTCACCTCTGGACTCCTCTCCTCTGGCTACGCCTCGTCCCTTCGGCTCTGTTGGACTCCTCACTCCCCTCAGTTCCCCTTTTGTCCTCACTCCCTCTGTCTCCACCGTGTCCTTCTGTGTCCCTGTCTACACTTCAGTCGCCTGAGCCTTCGGTGTCACCATGTCCCTCCAGTCCCTCAGCATCACCCGGTCTCGTCTGCTCTACGGCTCCACCCTGGTCTTCTCTCCCACCTGCTCCACCCCCGTCAGTCGGCCCCCTGGAGTCTTCTGCCCTGTCCCCTCCATGGCTCCTCCCTCCGTCGTCTCCGCCCTGGCCGCCCGCACTGCCTTATCTGCCCTGGCCGCCCGTACTGCCTGATCCGCCCTGGTCCCTCTCTCCCTCTGCTGTCGGTCCTTCTACGGTGCGAGGACGCGCCTACCGGAAGGGGGGTGTAATGTCACAATCTGTCTAGTCTCCGCCTCTTCACTACACTTCCCAGCATCCCTCATGTTTTCGCACCTGCCTGTCATCATCGTTGTCACCTGTGTCTTGTTAATTATCATCATCTGTGTCACCTGTTTCAGTTCTTCAGTGTTTGTATTTAGTTCCTTCATTTCAGTCGGTCCTTTGTCTGTAGTTAGTCGTATTTAGCGTGTGTTATCCTGCCTGTCTGTACCTGCCTGAAGTTTTTTTGTAAGTAAAAGTAATTGCATTGGAGCTCTTGCCTTTTCGTCTTCTTCGGCCTGCACCACGCTGTGACACATGGGGGAAATCAGGCTCAGTCGAGGGGCCAGTTCTCCTCTGGCCAACGAACGAACAGTATATGATTATGATTCAGGCCGTATAGGTCAGAAATCAGATTGGATTGGAACATTCAGAATATTATCCAGTTCCATGTGGTTGAAGATCGGAGTCATCAAGCCAGTATAGAGACGAATTTGTTGTGGATCAGTGCCGATGTCTGTCGTGGCGATGAGGCCTTACAGGGGAGAGTCTAGTTGACACAATCTCTGCTGACACTTCAGTGATGCGTTGTGTTCGTGTCTAGGTGCAGGTTCTCTGTCTGATCTGGATACGGCCCGGATCCTGCTGACTACATCATGCGTTGTGGTCGTGTCTACGTGCCGGTCCACCATCTGACAGTCACTCCAAAGGGTCATTTTCTATATCAATAAGCACTGTTTCTGAACTCCTTGAAATGCTTCAACTGTAGTCTTGATTTTATTTATTTTTTTCTGAGAATGTACGTGTCACATATTCTTTATTAAAAAATTCCCGCCCAAGGCACACGCGAGGCCTGGTTGAGTTGGGTTAGTAGTGTGTTGAAACCCGCTGTAAGGGGCGTCACGTTTCTGAAATGGTTGAAGCGGTTGACCAATCACTACACATTGGTCCAGCAGACCAATCAGAGCACATTGTGCCGTTCAGAAGCAGGGAACAAAAGACAGGAACTAAACAGAGTGTTACAGAAAGACTGGGAAGAGAGGTGCTTCAATAATTTCAAATATTTAAAGAATAATGTGTTTGAACATTCAAGCATGAAAATCTATTCTTGTAGACCCCTTAAAACTAAATAAAGACTTTGAAAAAGGGCATAGTTCCCTTTAAAAAGAGTACTTGGTACAAAAACATATAAGTGTGAACCGAATGTTAGGATTTCAGAAACACTTAATTGGATGTTATTTACAATTAAATTAAAATGTAGACTAGTTTAAATTAAAGGGTTAGTTCACCCCAAAATGAAAATTCTGTCAGTAATTACTCACCGTGATGTTGTTCCAACCTCGTAAGACTTTCGTTCATCTTCGGAACACAAATTAAAGTCCCTGTACAGGCAATTCTAAAAAAAAATTCTAAACCCATTATAAATGTTAGAACTGTTTTGCTAAAACATATTATAAAGACTGTGAACTGTGAATTACTGAATTGTGGAGTTAGACCGTTAAACAGTTTTTCACCATTGCTACCAGTATTTTCCGGATGTTTTGGGCGGGGCTAAAACGGGGCTCGATGACGCACTGGAGCCCCTGAGCTCGTGGACACGCCCCTACTTGATGACGCACTGAGGCCACTGAGGCCACTTTAGTTGAATAAAGTCGTTATTTTTGTTTTGTTTTTTGCGCACAAAAAGTATTCTCGTCGCTTGATAAACTTAAAGATTAAGCCACTGTAGTCACTTGGACTGTTTTAACGATGTCTTTAATTTTTCTGGGCCGGCAAGTTTCAATCCCTTAGAAGCCTATGGAGGAGTGATCCAGCTCTTAGATTTAATCAAAAATATCTTAATTTGTGTTCCGAAGATGAACGAAAGTCTTACGGGGTTGGAACAACATGAGGGTGAGTAATTACTGACAGAATTTTCATTTTGCGGTGAACTATCCCTTTAATATGAAATGCAGTTAGTTGAACTTTAGAGTACTTTTTGACCCACTTATAGGACTTAAGTACATCTTTATATGTTATTTCATACTTCTATTGTCTTTGAAATATGTTTAAAGTGTACTGCCATATATAATAACAAGCATTTGTGGTAAACTAATATTGAAACTTATATGTCATGTATTTAAATATATTTGTAATTACACATTTGTAATGATGAAGTTGCATCATGATGTATCTTCACATACAGTTTTTTAAATATACTTTTAAGATGTGAAGTACAATACAATTGAACATTCAATACAATTAAGCACACTTCTTTTTCATAAAGGGTTACCAAAGATGAGATTCATGAGCATGAGAAAATGAAAACTGTTATTGTGCCACACATTTAAGTCTTTTCACTATGTGTAGATGAAACCCATTCCTCAGAGTCGTGTGGTAGTGTCTGCCAGATTCCTCAAACCTATCAATGAACCCTGTGCAATATTGTAAGTACAGTTTATTTCTTTATTTCATAGTCCTTAACTTTAGGCACACTTCAATCATTAATTTCAAATGTATTGTTAAGAGGAAAACCTCTTGAGATGTGACATCTCGTTTTTGAGGGGACCTCAAGAAAAACATACTTCACATCCATACATCCATACTAACAGAACAAAGACATTTTTAGTCAGCATCACTGCAAACATTTGAAACCTTAGTGTCTAAAAGCAGCATTTGTGTTGAGGTATTTCTTTTTTACCACATTTAATCAAATATCTCTGTGGGGTACTTAAAAGCCTTACATTTTTCAAAAATGAAAATTCTTCCATTACACTCCCTCCTGTTGTTCCAAACCGTTTATTTTTTCAGTAAATGTTCTGGATGAATTTTGCAGCTCTTTGCTCACAGTGACAGCTCATAGTAACCACAGCGGCCAAGCTCAGAAGGGAAAAAAACATCAAAAGCACTAGTCAAACTGAAAGGAGGTTGGATGTTTGGGAAGAACTTTCATTTTGATTAACTATTACTTTAAGCAACTAATGAACCAGCAAGTATGTATTTATGGATGAATGGATGTACTGAATTCATACATTTTGTTTGTTTGTATACATCTGCAGAATTACAAATATACATTTGTAATATAAATGTAAATTTTTTCTGTGTCCTCAGTGTTGTGGCAAATGGAGATGTGCAGAATCCAGCAGCGAGGCTTCTGATTCCCAGCCGTGTGATTGGCCAGTTTGAGCGGATTCTGGAGATGATCACAGAGAAAATGGGCCTGCGAATTGTAGGTGGTGTGCGGAGGTACATTAGAGTGAATTTATTTTATATTAGTCAGAATTCATATCATGAATTGAATTGGCTTCTAAAGGATTTTTTTTAATACTAAAATCAGAGGTTAACTCTTTCAGGCAAATGTGTGCACTTGTAAGAGTTATTATCATTATGATAATTAATTGTTTTTTAAGAGATGCAAAAAAGAACAAAAATTAATATATATATATATATATATATGTATATATATATATATATATATATATATATATATCATTTCAGATATTTGGGAATTCACACCATAATTTACTTTCATGATTGTGCTTCTCCAGGACACTCCCAGCTAACAGGGAATGTTCTCAGAACTTTGGCTAATATTCTGGCAAGGGTCTCTCAAAGTTATGAACAAACGTTCTTTCAGTAACATTAATAGAAAGTTCATTCAAAGTTATCTGATCTTTAATAAGTTCTCAAAAAGTTAGCACAAAAAACATGATTTATATCATTATTTATATAATCATTACATATACATGTTTTTTTTTTTCTAAAATGCTTTAACAGGACTTTTTTCTTTCCTTTTTTATGATGTTTTTAATGATGTTTTCATAACTTAATGGGAATGTTAGCAAAACGTTGTTAGAACATATTTTTATTAGATAGGCTGTAAAACGTTTAATCAAAAGTACTTTAGATGATAAGTGCCCTTTCCTCATTTGGGAAAAGAAAGCATTTTTATATCATCTGAGCAATATTGACTTATTTAAGCCTTTAACATCTTTTTTTGCAGCCTGTACACCTTTGAAGGGACTCTCGTTATGGATGGAAAGAAATTAGAAAATGGACAGTTTTATGTTGCTGTTGGCAGAGACAAATTTAAAAAGCTTCCATACAGTGACCTCCTGTTCAATAAACCCATAGGCATAAAGCGAGTGAATGGGTAAGAGAAAGATGCTGCCTTTTCCCAGCAGATGAAGTATGTTTTCGGTAACGCTTTACAACAAGGTTTCATTTGTTGACATTAGTTAATGCATTAACCAGCATGAACTAACAATGAGCAATACAGTACATTTGTTACAATATTTGGTCACACTTTATAGTAGGTGTCCTTAACTTCTGTGTACTTACATCAAAAAATAAGTAAAATGTACTTATTGTGTTTGTATTGTATTGCAAAACACGTTTGCTGCTATTGAGGTGAGATACAGGTAGGGATAGATTAGGGACAGGTTTGGTGGCATGTATAGGTTTAAGGGTGGGTTAAGGTGTAAGGGAAGGCTCAACATTGTAATTATATGTGTAATTAATTAGAAATGAATTACAGCTGTAATTACATGCAGTTATTTTTCTAAAATATAAGTACGTACACAATAAGTGCATTGTATCAAATGATTAAATGTTAGTACATAAAGACACCTAATATAAAGTGGAACCCATTATTTATTAGTCTTTGTTAATGTTAGTTAATAAAAGTTATACAGTTGATTGTTTGTTCATATTAGTTCAAAGTGCATAATGTTAAGAAAAACAACTTTTTATTTCAATAATGTATTAGTAACATTAACTAAGATTAATAAATACTGCAGAAGTATTGTTAATTCTTAGTTCATGTTAACTAAAGTAGTAATACTAATGTTATCTAATGAAACCTTATTGTAAAGTGTTACCACGTTTTCAAACAGAATGTAATTGAATGTGATTTTAGGTCAAAAGCAGCGTCATTACCACCTATATACAAATACAGACGACAAAATGGAGATGTGAGTACAAAAACTAAAAAATAAAAGATGTTGGGCATTCATTTGTTAAATCTTTGAATATTTCTGTTGTCAGGTGGGGAACCATCATATCAGTAAGTCTGATTGTGGACAAGAGAAGAGCAGTCCTTCGGACCAGAGCTCCAAAGAACAGCTGTCGTCAATGGTCAGAGAGATCTCTCAGGCCAGACTCATGAGCATACGCAAGAAGAGGAGCGAACTCGCAGCATCTATCGAGGCTCAGGACGATGGTAAGAGACACACGTTTGACCATGAGCAGAAAATCTGAAATCAATTAAAACACAAACAATGAAGAAATTAATACACATGATGTTTTATTAACAAAGTTCGGGAGGAGCATGTTCAGTTAATTAACACGAGTGGAGTGCACGTAGCAATCAATGATAAGAGGTGTATATATAGATTCAGCAATCTCACCTCACTCCATTGATAGTTTAGCAGCATCCCTCCACCGCCCCTTCTCCACAGTTCCAGTCCTAAACACTTACATAGGGGGGAGTACTCTGGGTTCGGGCCAAACTCCGAGCTCGGAGCCCTCCCCCGGACAGCACGGCAAATAGTAATACGCATTAAATCTTATCCACTCTAATTATATGTAAGTGTGAACTTGTGAAATACATTTGTCTGTCCAAAACAGGAACACAGCACAACTACATACTCTAGCGTTCTAAAGTTTGGGGTCGGTAAGACATTTTTAAATGTTTTTGAAAGAAGTCACTTATGCTCACTAATGCTGCATAATTTTTTTTTTTTAAATCTGTAAAAACGGTAATATTGTGAAATATTATTACAATTTAAAATAGCTATTTTCTCTATGAATATATATTTTTTTAATTATTTATTCCTGTGATCAAAGGTGAATTCTCAGCATCATTACTCCAGTCTTCAGTCACATGGTGCTTCAGAATTCATTCTAATATGCAGATTTTCTGCTTAAGAAACATTTCTTATTATTATCGGTAACGCTTCCTTTTACAGTCCTGTTACCCATGTACATACTAGGTACTTATTATAGTAATTACAATTACTGGGTAATAACTAGGTACTAACCCTGAACATACCCCTAAACCTACCCCTAACCCATGTACTTACCTTATATTAGCCAGTACTTTCTAGGTAAGTACACGTAAGTACTGTACTGTAAAAGGAAGCGTTACCTTATTATCAATGTTAAAAACAGTTGTTCTGCTTCATATTTTTGTAGAAACTGTTATACATTTTTTTCCCCCAAGATTATTCGATGAATAGAAAGTTCAAAAGAACAGCATTTATTAGAAACAGAAATCTTTTGTAATATTTTAAAGTTTTTTTTGCGTCATTTTTGAACAATTTAATGCATCTTTGCTAAATAAAAGTATTCATTTCAATTAAAAAAACTTTTGAACAGTAGTTTATGTACACTGTAAGAACAAATGTACATTTAGCTTGTCACTGTCTCATGACAAGTGTGCTGAAATTAATCAACATGAATAGTTTTAACTAGAATATTTGACTGATTTAACTGTAATATGCATAATCTATCACTATCAAGTCAAGTCACCCTTTATTTATATAGCTCTTTTTACAATACAGATTGGTTCAAAGCAGCTTTACAGAGATAACAGTAAAATAATGCAACAAAGTTTGTTTCTCCTGAACAGCAGATCTAGAGGAAAACAGCGTCATAGTCCAGCTTAAGTAAATTCAGTGATGGTTCATTTCTGTTCATTTATTATTTAGTTAATTTAACTATACAGCCACTCTGGAGAAAACAGTGATGTCATCGTCCAGCTCAGTTCAGTTTTCATATAATGGAATTCAATGCAGGCAGATCAATGATATTGTTGAATATTAAATGTCCCCAACTAAGCAAGCCAAAATCCAAAGGCGACAGTGGCAAGGAACCAAAACTCCATCAGGTGACATAATGGAGAAACAAACCTTGGGAGAAACCAGGCTCAGTCGGGGGACCAGTTCTCCTCTGGCCAACGAACGAACAGTGTATGATTATGATTCAGGCAGCATTACATGTCAGACGTCAGATTGGATCGGAACTATCACTACAACTATGTAGTTTTCGTTGTCTTTTGTGCACTCACCAAAGTGTCTCTGCAGCCACTATTGTCTGGATAACGATGATGTAATTCAGTGATGCTTATATAATGCGCTTCCCTGTGTGTTCAAGAGATGGCACTGGTGCTCTGTGAGTGTGTTGCTCATGCTCTTGCTGTGGCATGAGAGGGATTACATCATCATCATCATCATCGTGTGTCCTCAGATTGCAGCCGGCGGTGTGCGATCAGCGCCATGCTTGACTGCACGTGTCTCTTTTCAGAACATCTCACCGAATGATGACATTTCAGTGCAAAAAGAGCCCTTGCAGAGATCGCCTGCAAATGCTATTAGTCACGCTCCAGATTATGAACGAAATTGATTCATACTTAAATTGATGTGGTGAAAATAAAGCTCAGGAATAAGAGGTTTGGTAGTGAGCAGTGTCTGTAGTTAGTGTAGAAGCGTCTCTCCCTCATTAGCACTCGAGGTCTTGCTGGTACCCAGGTGTCTGAAACAAGCCTATTAAATCTCCATGGCGATGAAATCAACAAAAGCACATCTCTTCTCTTCTTTTCTTGGGCCGAACAGAATGTATTTCTGATTGAAAACTGTTCTTTTGTAATCTGTTGTGATTTTAAAAGGACATTTGATCTGTTTATTTCATGAATGAAGACTTTAGCCACGACTTTATTTCCAGGAACATATTCACCAAGGTCATTTTAGTTGGTGATTTGAGTGTGTATGACAGAATCAAGCCATTAAACAAGTGGTAATAGTGAGTCAGTTTGACCATATCAAATTGTAAATTAATGAAGTTTCCATTGTCACAGGATAAATGTCTCCATTTGATTCCTTCATGCTGCATATATTATTATAGAACCAGGGAGTTTAGTTGCCTGATGTAATTATCTGCACTGACTAGTCTTATATTTTAATAGAGCTGGTTGTATTCAGTCGTGTAGGGCAGCATTCTGCTCATTTTGGCTGATAATAATTGAGGTTCAGGAATAAGGATTTATTATAGTCTGTTATTTGTCATCAGGCAGTGAAAATACAGATCTGTGTTTAAATTGAATGCTTAATCTACTATTAAGGTAAAAGTGTGGTTGAAGTGACCTGCAAAAATCCATTGCTGTAAGAATTGTCTTGACATGGATTATTTTAGAATAGCAAAATAAGTTACACATAACGTCAGCATTGTTACAAATCTGTATAAGATCATTTGAATTAAAAGGCAAGAGATCATAAACATCACATACTGCCTTTGAACATGAAATCAAAATGGACCCTTTTAGTACATGTTCCACACAAAATGTTTAGTTTTATCATTTAAAATGAGTTTAAAGGTGTACTACTAATTTTTCTCTGTCAATATGGAAAGGTACAACTATCTTGTACTTATACTGTAGCTCAAAAAGTAATGGGAATAGCAATGCCAAGGCTTATATAAACTGTATACTGTGCCTTCAGTGCAACGCAAGTTTCTTTGGATAAAAACCTCTGCCATTTTGCATTTTGAAACATTTAAATTATTCAGTTGATACAATACACTGATTGTGTGCACACATGTTTTTATGTACTTATATATATATATATATATAAAATACCAGCATGTAATTAATTTCTCTAATTACATCTACACTGTTGACCCTTCCCTTACCCTTAAACCCATTTTACCAAACCTGTCCCTAACCTTACCCGGTATCCCACCTATAGCAGCACGTTTTGCAAACAACATGAACACAATAAGTGCATACCAATTTGTTATGTATTTATGTAAGTCCATTATAGTTAAAGACATCTATAAAAAGTGGGACTAAAAACAAAACATACCTTAGAAGTACTGTAAATTTCTTTAGGTATAAAACTTTTTAACGACAAACATATTACAGAGTTTGCCTTAATTAAATGACACATCCATTTTAAAATGTCAATGAATCACAAAGACTGTTTTGCTCAGAATAAAGCTCAGTCTTAAAGCACAGCTCTCAACGCAGGCAAAATATTTTGTGCGACTAATAAATATCCCTTTTTGATAAATAAACCATGCATTAAAAGGCAGGAAACTATGTGCTGGAATATAACACTACATGGATACATTTGAATATCAATGATTAGTGAGGATCTGACACCATTAACGAGGGAGTCTAACAGATGGCATAAGTGTTAAGTGAATGTAGGGCAAATTCTCCAATCACATGGTGAAATGAAGTCAGAGGTTTCTGGAGGAGAGTGAGTATGTGTGGCTTTGTTTGAGAGAGGGAAGGAGGAATCGGGGGAAATTGCTGCGGCTCCGTCCCACTCCAGTAATGACAGGGAGGGATCAGAGGAGTGTAGAGACGTACAAGAGCCGCTGATGGCTTTCACAGTTCAGTATCTCAGAGCTCCTGGTGACAATCCATCCACAATACTGTAATAATGCTCTGAAATAGGCCATTAAGGTGCCTCTCTGTGCCTCACTTCCCTGATCAGAACGTGTGTGTGTGTCTGAGGTCTTTCAGCACCTCCGAACAGACTGAGATGTGACAAGTGCTAAAGTCTTGCTCGCTTCTAATTAGATCATGGCCTGCAGTGATGGCAGTAATGCAATATCTGAACCAAAGGTGAGAGACGAGGATAAAAGAGTATTTGGAAGAGAAAGTCAGACATTTATTTTTCTTGTCTCATTGTCTTTTCCTCCCTTGTCCTTGCCAGTGTGATCTCATTAGTGTTAGATGTACCAGAACGTAAACTGTAGTAGTGCCGTACCTATTTTTAATGCAAATAATATACTATTAATCAATAATAATATCACATCACCGCTTCTAAAACATAACAGTATGAATGTGCAGGTACTGAGATGCACAATAGAGGGTGAAGTTGTGGTGTTTTTTAATTGTAAAAAACTTGATCCTGTCCTACCTTAATATTCATCAAAATCTATAAGCAAGAAATTAAAACTCTGTTTGATTGAGCATCCCAACCAGCCCGATATGGCAAATTGTTTGACCATGTTGATGACAAGGAAAGTGTTCAGGAAAACCTGTTTTTAGAAATTACATACATTACACATTTCAGCTGTAATTATTATTTTTTTAATTCTGTCATACAAATAGTTCATGTTATTACTTGAAGCAAAACTGTTTAAGCAATCTAACCACTTGTTTCATTCTTGAATGAATCAGAATTTTTTAATGAATCAGTTGAGTGAATCATT